AAGAAAAAATATCAATGTATCATCAGCCTACTTTCACAGCCATACCATAGTGAAGTGGTAAGTGGAGCCATACTCTGAGTGAGGACTCCCAGTTCAGTTCCTTGCTAATATGCAAAGAGGATGCTCAGCTGAAATACTAATTTCTTTACCTGGGAGATGTGATAAAATGGACTTTTTTTTCTATTTTCCTAATTTTTTTTTCTACCTATCAAAATTCAGTGCAGGGGTTTCAGACAGCTACCTAATGAGAAGGTAATACACTCTGTATCACACTGGTTAATTATCTTCTTTGCATCCCTACAGCTAACCCCAAAAGCACTGACTGTCCAGAAGTATTCCTGCAATCCTGGAGATACTTTTGAGAAAACCATACTGTGCAAAAGAGCAGGATCTGATTGACAGACAGAGCAACTCCTCCCTTGGGGAAGTAGAGCAGAAACCACTAATACTGACATGAAATGCTGGAATAGTTATGCTAAAGAGGAGGTCACTCAGAATAGGGACATTGCCAGAAATGGAGGACTAAGGCATTCTGTCAGATATAAAACCTTAACAAGTACATGAACAAAGGAGGGTAAACAGTGCAGAGGGAATAAACTGAACCAACTCCAGCTAGCTGCCCTGGGTACATTTTTTGGTGATGGGTGTAAGGAACTAGCCACCTATGTGCAACACTTATTTAACAGGTAAAAGTTAGTCTGTTTGCTCATTTAATTTTAAATAATTCTGTTAAAGTAGTTACAATTACACCTCTTATCTGCCCACCATTAAAAACTGAAATGAACAGAGAACTGTGATACAAGCATTTCAACACCACAGAAATTTTCTTAGCTTTCTGTCTAAAAGTGAGATTTGATAATCTTCACAATTATTATACCTGTGCAAATCAAGTCTGTTCCTGCTTTATACAGCACTAATTCAAGCTGCCACTGCTCCCAACAGAATGATGTGAGACTTAAGTAAATGAACCAAGTTATAATTTGTTTGTTGTGGTACACTTCATAACCAGGTCGCTACACTCAGGAATGCTGCTGAGCACCATATATGAAGGGGTGAATAGTGTCCTAGTAATGGCTAGAAAGAATTTGCCTATTTCAAGACTTTCTGAAAGTCATTTCTGAAGTGATTTTTACCACATGTTTAAATGAGCAACTCTAATTTCTCCTCACTCTCAAATAATTCATAACAACTCAGAAATTTCTGATTAACTTCATCACCATTAGAAAACCTGCCTGCTGCAGCTGGACACCTCAATTCTATAGATAAAACAAAGCAGGGAAGATGGGAATTCAGGGGTTTTTTTCTCTGCTACCTTTGTTTTTCTTTTTTTTTTTCTTGAACCACCACCAAGCCCCAGTGAGGCCACATCTGGAGTGCTGTCCCAGTCCTGGGCTCCTGAGGACAAGAGAGACATGGGATCTCTGGAGCAGGTGCCACAGAGGGAGACAAAGATGGTTAAGGGCTAGAGCATCTCTCTTATGTGTCAAGGCTGAGGGAGCTGGGCCTGTTCAACCTCGAGAAGGGACAACTGAGAGCATTAATGTTCATGGAGCATTGGAAGTTCATGGAGCAGATCATCTTAAGTGCCATCATGTGTAACATACAGGACAACCAGGGGTTCAGGGACTTAGGAAAAGCAGTTTCTGCTTGAGCAACCTGAGCTCCTTGTACAGCAAGGTGACTCACTTAGTGCATGACAGAAAGGCTGTGAATGTTGTCTACTAGACTTCAGTAAAGCCTTGGATTACTGTTTCCCACAGCATCATCCTGGAGAAACTGGCTTCCCACGGCTTGGATGGGCATACTCTTTGCTGAGTAAAAGCCTGGCTGGATGGCTGGGCTCAGAGTGGTGGGGAATGGCAGTGAGTTGGCAGTGCTGCTCCCCAGGGCTCTACTGGGGCTCATCCTGTTCAGCACCTTTATCAATGACCTGGATAAGGGGATCAAGTGCACCCTCAGTGAGTTTGCAGGCAACACCAAGCTGGGTGGGAGCGTTGATCTGCTGCAAGGAAGGAAGGAAGGCCCTGCAGAGGGATCCGGACAGGGTGGATTGATGGGCTGAGGCCAATTGTATGAGGTTCAACAAGGCCAAGTGCCAGGCCTGCCCCTGGGTCACAACAACCCCAGGCGGCACTACAGGCTGGGGGAAGAGTGGCTGCAAAGGGGCCCAGTGGAAAAGGAACTGGGAGTTTTGGCCAGCAGCCATTTGAACATGATCCAGTGTGTGCCCAGGTGGCCAAGAAGGCCAATGGCACACAGCCTGTATCAGCAATTGTGCAGCAGCAGCACCAGGGCAGCTATTGTTCCACTGTACTCAGCACTGGTGAAGCTGTACCTTGAATCCTGTGCTCAGTTTTGGGCCACTAACTGCAAGCAAGACATTGAGGGGCTGGAGCATATCCAGAGAAGGGCAATGAGGCTGATGAAGGGTCTGAGCAAAGATCTGATGAGGAGCTGAGGGAGCTGGGGCTCAGCTGGGGTTCAGCCTGGAGAAAAGCAGGGTGAAGTGGAACCTTATGAAAGGAGGTTGTAACAAGGTGGAGGTTGGCCTCCTCGCCCAAGGAACATGAGATAGGACCTGAGGAAATTGCCTCAAGTTGTGCCAGGGGAGGTTTAGATTGGATATCAGAAAAAATTTCTTCACTGCAAGGGCAGTCAAGCACTGGAAGAGATTGCCCAGGGAAGTGGTTTAGTCACCATGCCTGGAGGTATTTAAAAGATGTGTACACGTGGCACTTTGGGACATAGCTTAGTGGTGGACTTGACAGTGCTGCATTAATGGCTGGATGTGATGATCTTAGAGGTCTTTTCCAACCTAATCCATTCCATGATACTATTATTCTGTAAAAATGAACATTTTCAGTTCACAGCAGGGTAAGTACCTCTGATCAAAACTTTGGAAGAACAGATGACATTTTGGAAGAACCAGCATTGCACCTGTTGTTACTTCCCCCCACAGTCTACTGCTATCCAGAAAGCTTTGCATTTATTACTATATTTTTCTTCTTGTTTAGAAGAAATTATGTGATTTTAGTAGGTTTTACTGACACTATTAAACCACATCTGTTCAAATGGATAGACCCATGTTGTTATATTATTTTAGTGGGAAGACTTCAAATAACAGGTATAGTATTTTTAGTATATATCCTTCCTTTTGCCAGTGTTATTCAATTAAATCTGTGACTGGCTTCATTTGGTGTAATTAAATCTTGGTTTGATTAAGATGTGTTCTATCTTTGCTGCAGCTGATTCTGCTAACTTTCTGTTCTCCAGCCATTTTCTTGTATCTTCATTATCAAAGACCAAGAAAAGAGAATTTATTCAAAAACATAAATGAAAGTCTATTTTTATGCATTTCACATTTATGTAAGTGTGAACAATTTCTCTGCTAATGTGATGTTAAAGGATTAGTATGGCTTTTAAATAAACGTATTTTTTAGTTTAATGCATCAAAAATAAAACCCAGTGGCTTAATTCTCACAATAAATCATACCTCTCTAATAGTGTTTCAAGACATCATTAAAAACCTGAAACCTAAATGGGATGTGCTAACCTACATTTCCATGCTGTTGCTCTTTCATTTGAAATACATTTTATACATGAGGAATATTTTTGATTTCTCATTTAAAAGAATCGGAGAAGGCATTTAACACCACTGAAATAACGTAATTTCAGGTGCAATTTAAGCAAGCAGAATAGAACAAAGCAAGTAACTGGAGCCTGAGTATGCCTTTTTATAAAATCATTAATTTAAACCTTAAGGGTAAAAAAAACTCATTTATTCATCAAGAAGTTAATCCAGTTTATTCCCTAACTAGGAACATTTTTTTTCTTTTTTTTTGTATGTCTATGCTATTCATTAATGAAACAAAAAAATTCACCCAGGACTTCAGATCTATTACATAAGTAAATATTACATTTTGATGTAAAAATTTACATTGTTCACAGAATCATTTGAATTTCACATTCATTTTACCACTGAAGAGATAAAGGGAATTTCTTTCATACTGCCATGCTCACTATTATTTTCTTTGACCGTTTTAAAACTAATTTATTCTTTACATCAAAATCTCAAACGGAAACAGCACACATTGCAAGAATAGTATTTTTTCTGTGTAAATTGAGCCCATCACAGTTCTGCGTAGTCACATCAATGGATAAAAAAAGCTTTTTTCCATTAGAAGTACTCTCTCTCATATGAATCCTATTTTAAGCATATATGATATCCTCCCACAAAATACTAAATATTGAATTACAGAAAGATTCTTCAAGGTGAAGGAAAAAGAACATTGTAAGAGGAAAACACCATACAAAGTCAGAAAAAAAAAAAAAACAACTTTAAATTCTGTATTTAGTACTGCAAAAGCACTTCACTACACACCTTGTAAACCAGACTGTAAATTAGTACTAGTAGACCGATAAGTACATTATTTTATCCACAACAGAGAGTGAGTACATTAAATGGTTCAAAAATAAAAAGAGCTTATTTACATATATACATATATAATACTTGTATTACACAATGAGGCTTCCAAAGTAATACCTGCTTGTTATGACAGTATGTCTAGGCAGAGAAACAAGGTAGCACTGAAATGAATTGAATTCCTATTTCATGAAAAGCAACTGGTTTATAACCATGTATACATCTTCTTTCCAAACTACCATTTTCTCCTAAGCCAGGTTATTTGCTCAATTTCTACACATGCACAAAAAATGAAAATCTAATTTCTATCCAATTACCCAGGTACACTAAGAGCAATTTCTCACAGCACCAGTATTAAAAATTATTTCATTCAATTTTGCCAGTTCTAACCTTTTTTGTAGTTGTAACATCTAATGCACCTTTTTCATGCAAATGAAGTATCAAATATGAGCATTTCAGAAAGAAAAACTCAAGAAACTATAACAGTGCGGGCATCTTAAAAGTGAAAATAAATCACTCCTCATTAACTTTGATTACTTCAAACACTTTGCTATGCTTTATAGTTTTAATAAATTACCTTATTCTTTGAGGCAATTTTCAGTCAATCCAGTCATAGTTAGAATACCAGTGCATCAAGACAGCTTGTCAGTTCGACCCTTCTCCTTCACACATCTTGAAATATTGATCCTTTAAAGAAAGTACAAAGGACTGTTCATTCAACTCTCAAGCAACACCTGCAGGTAATACAGCCATATTAACATAACATTATTTTGGATTTCAGCACATAAAGAATGAAAAATTGCTATAAATCAACATTAAAGACCAAAATTATTTTCTCAGACATGCTAATTTGAATTGAGAGAGAAGCTGTTGTCCCAGGATTTTTAATTTTACATTAAATTGCCTTACTGCTTATACACCAGAGAAACTGTATTTAACTAAAACCAGAAAGTACTCTTTAATCTTTAATATATAATTAAATCTTGGTGGTTTTTCAATTTATCCAGAGATATAGTACCTCTAAAAACTGTGCTTTGTTGTACTCATTTTAATCAAATGTTATTTTAATTGGGTCTGTAAGGACATGTAGAAACTACTGCACCATAGGGAAGAAAGTAATTTTTTGATCTTCTATTCTTACATCTCTGAAACCAGCCTGGTTTGCAGTCTCACCTTTGACTTCCCTTCAGGCATTATTCCCTAGGGTTCCACAGCTTCAATTCCCAATTCAGATTTGTTCAAGAGAATAATGTGTCTCAAAGCAGTACTTCTGGAAATCAAAACATATGGAAATGGGGATGTCTTACCAAATTTTCCATATGATCTATGGGAAGAAGCTGAAACCTAAGGTAGGGCTCCTGGGAAATGCTTCACAGACCATGTGGACATAGCACAAACAAAAAGGCAGCTCTACCCACCAGGTAGCTTCCTGATGTTTATGAAGGTGCCACCATATGAGCATACTACAGAACTGGAGGCCCTCCTTCCAAAAAGGAGCAAGAAATCAAGACAAGACCTTCCTTAGACAAGCAGTTGTGAATGGACTGCATCCCTCCTTCCCTAACCCTGATTTCTCCTAAGCACCCTTCCTTCTAGAAATAGAAAGGGGCAGCCTTTTTTCATTCACAAAACCTGTAAGCAGGGCAGCATCATCAGACTGATAGGAAAGCTATTCTCCACATTGCTGAGTGCAGCCATCTGTGACCAGACAGGGTGATGGGAAATAAAGCCCATCATGGGAAAAAACCTCAACCAGATCTTGAATAAGAACAGTCTACTTCATACTGAAGAAGAGGGTTTCAGATGTGCCCTTTCTTATAGTCAGAATAATAAAAAAATAAATCAATGATACACTCACACAGAAATCAGTTACAATAGCTAAGACTGGCTGGCAAATCCAGGCTGCAAAATTAGGGCCACCCCTCTCCTAGTCCTCCTTTCCTTACAGGAACTTGACTCAAGCTGTTTCACTGTAATCATTTGAGAAGTAGTTCACCAGTTTCTAGCCTAAACAACACATTAAATTCATAACTATACTCTACAATTCAGTTAGGTTCAAATTTTCCAGGCAACATTTAACTTGAAATTAAAAGCTTCACTTCCTGTCAGAGTCAAATTTAAGGCAGCAAATCAACTTTCATCTCTCAATGCATGAAAACAGTCTTTCTCATTCAAGACATATTAAAAAGTTCTAAGGATGGGGATGAGGGGAATGCGTTGAGGTTTTCTACATTTGTGGGTTTGGTTGGGGTTTTCTTTCTTTTGTTGGGGTCTTGCACTAAGTTTTATGCAGAAATGAATCAAATTTTGAAAGGGGTTATATCATGTTGGCTGCCTGTGCAGCAGTCACTAGACAGCAATGAGCAAAGAAACCATTGCAAGATTCCTCTTCCTGGAGGAAAAAAGCAGAAAACAGGCATCAACATATTTAGGGATTTTCAGCATATGAATACTTTTCCTATAAACCTGAATAGCAGAAAAAGGAAAAAAATCTGTGCCTTCTTTAAGAGTCATATCTTGAAGAGCTTTGGTTTTCTCACATTTGAAATGCAAATGGAACCGAAAGGCAACCAGGCTTTTTGTACCCCATCTCATTGTTTTAAAAATGTGTACAAGTTTTCACAGCGCATCACAGGGATCTCTGCATTCATACTCATTTTTAACTTCACAACTCATTCTGTAACAGGAGCTGGTTCCTTTAAAAAGGAGTCACTTGGAAGCATTGCCCGTGAAATCATGGAGAGGGTAAAGATGAAATAAGATCTTTTTTCATTCTTCTTTAATCTTGATAGTGAGTTCCCAGCATAAGGCTGGGTCCAACAGTTTAAATTAATTTTCACATATAATGTTTGCTGGTGGGTTGTTGCCAGGTAAGATAGTAAATTTCTCCTTAATTAAACCACATTCCTTTTTTTTTTCCACAGCAGCTGATAATCTTGGCTATTTTCAATGCTGCAAGATGTATTCACATCAGTATATGCTGGGAAAAGTATGATACACCTTTTGTTTAATGTCAAAAACCAGTATTTCCAGACATAAAATCAAGATTGGCATGACCAAGACTCTCTGAACTTCACACATAAGCTTTCTCACATATTTAATCAGAGAAAGTTTACCCTAAGTCATTATGCTGGTTTGGCAGAGATATTGAATGTCATGGGGAAAACAGAAAGAGGAAGAAAAGTCTCAAATATTTAAAATGGACAGAAGTGTAGTTAAAGTATTGTTTCAACAAAATGAATCACTTCAGTGTATATGAATCAAGACACCTGCACCAAAACAAATCTCCCATTTCAAAAATCTGAGTTCAGAAAACAAATAAAATTAAACCTGAACAAACTTGACTGCTGGGTCTATAAATGAACTCATCTATACAACTGGTTTTGCTGCTATAAAAGCATTAAGGGCCAGGTTAGAAAAGTAGTTTCCCCTTTATTTGCCAGCAATCACGGTAATCTCTTGATCATTGAAGTACTTTATCATAAGGTACTTTTCAGTACTTAAATCTTTCATATACCCTAAACAACTCCTGGTATGGAAAAAGGAAGCTTCACAGAGACTTGAACCCAAAGAAGAAATGACTTTTCTTCTTTGGGTGGCTGGGTGGAGTCACAGAATTATGTAGGGAAGTTATTTCCACAAATTAAAATAGAACCTTTGTGTGTGTGTGTGCAAAGGGGTGGAATTATACCATGCATTCACTGGCTATACTCCCTTCTTTTTGCAACAACAGACCTTAGCAGTCTCTCCAGCATTTCCTTTTACTTAAATGAAAAAAATGGTACTTCATTTAAGGGTGAATTTTCCCACTGGACTTGCTCTGATCTAAAGAGAAGTAGCTGTCAAGAAGACATGAAGAGGTCCTGAGCTCTTCTGCTCCTCACTGCAAGCTCCTGCCCTCTCCCCTCACATTTAAGAATTGTAGCATCCCGAGAGAGGTACGTCAGTTCATTGATCCAAGAGACTGCAAACCTCTGCAAGAAAAGATTAGGTTTTGACATGACAGGGATTTCCTCAAAGAAACTACCTCTTTGGGATAACAGCCTGAAATTAAAGAAGGTAAAGCAGCACATGAAACTGTATCCCCAGCCTAAGATGTCATGGATGTGAGGTGAATGTAATGCTGAAGTATTCCCATCGCTCTACACTAACTCTGTTCCTTCCTACATAAGCATTGGCAAGGAATACTCTGCAAAGCCAAGGACAATTCCTTCTGAAGTAGAGTCAAACATCTGAAAACGGATATGTAATATTGATTTAAAAAAATCAAATAAAGGTCCTACTATCTCTGACTTAATCCATTTGACTCAGAGAACAGTGAGTCAGTAACATCCACTGATTTTTCAAATCACTACCAAGTACATAAAAGTTAAAATATGTTCCTCAAACACAGCCTCGCAAACAGGCTTTCTTTTCACCTACTTTGCCATGGCAAGAACTTCTCAGAATTGCAGACTTATTGCTTTCCCAAGGAATTCTGTCACAGCCTTCATATTTTGTTTATACTTGGCTTTTTCATTCAGACTAATCAACCATCCAGTATTTTGAACTGCTGATTATTCTGAATGACTTTCATTCAGACATTGTTTTCCATGACCTTCAGCAAGGAAACAGTTTCTCCAGTGTCTGGGATTCACAAACATACTTTCTTTTTAAACTACTTTTCACTATAGCATCCCATTTCCTTCCAGATTGTAAAACTTTCAGGTTTAAATACATTCAACTGCTGGATGCCACAAACAATCCTACAGTACTCCTAACATGAAAAATCCTGCACTAAAATTTCTACCTCAGAAAACTGACTTCAGTTGTAACAATTTAGCTAAAAAGAGCACTAACTTGGACTGAGTTCTACTTTATTTATATCACTTCACATGCACAGAATTGTACTATTCTCTGCAGAATTTCTTCTAAAGCACACAGGGAAGAAGAGAACAAATTGGATCTCCTGCCTTCACATAACTCCTGTGACATGTCTGTATCACAACAGCAGAGCAATCCATAAAGTCCATACCGATTTTTCTCTCACCATGTCTCAGACACTTTTCATAAGATGTCATAAATTTCACTGTACATTTTTATTAAAAAACACTGACATTTTATTTTCCCATCTTTATGATTCAAAGCATGTCTTTGTATTTCTTTCTAATGAGTTGCAGCATTGCTCCTAGTGTAGGCTGTTAGATATGTGAATTTTTAATTCTGAAGAGAAGCAATATATTCTGCAGACTCCATAAGTCATGTAAAAAGAAATGTCAAGCCTTTATTGCATTTCCCTGAGTTTTATATCCACCAGCCTTTTAAATCGTACTTGAATAAATTAGTATATTTGGTTTATCGGGAATAAAATAATTCAAGGAAGTGTAGGCAACTACTGTACACCAATGTATGCAGTTTTCTGCAAAATAATTCTAAAATAGTATCATCCTTCACATACATTTAACAGAATGTATTTTATAAATAGCATAAATTTTGTATCTGAACGTTTTTATTTCTAACTATAGGAAAATTATGACTAAGACACTCAATTATATCTGAGAAGCTGTCGAAGCCCAGTTAAGTTCCCACTGACTGGGAAGGAGGAGAGATAACTCTCATTTTTACAAAAGGAAACAAAGGAAAACCCAGGGAACCACAGGCCAGTCAGTCTCACCTCAGTGCTTGGAAAGATCATGGAGAGCAGAATCTCCAGGAAAGAATACTGAGAGACACGGATGGTGAGGTGGTGATTGGT